TCCTACACACTTCTAGTGCGAATATTGGAAAAGGTGGTGGTCCAATGTAGCTTGCCGCCCCCTTTGCTTCTTGGCTTTTGTTGGTAGCGTTCTTGGAGGCTTCCCCCACACATGCGATTGCATCATGCCAGGATCGAGAAGCAGCCCATGCAGCCTGGTGGTACCGAGTTCGCTGCCAAGCTGCTCGTCCTGGACGCGGAGGAATGCAGGCTCAGGCGACTCACGCCCGAGCAGGTCCCATGGATAGAACGGGGGCGGGGAGGAACGAGGCGTGCTGTTAGTTCCTTTCAGTTTTCAGGTCGTGGCCAGGCGGAAGCTGGCAAGGGAGTTCCGATGTGGACCCGAAGTCAAGATGGAGGCTTGTCCCGGGGGTTCGAGTCCCGCTGCAGAGCTACCGAAACTCTGACTTCATGTCAGTTTGCGCATGTAGTGCTGCCAACGCAGGTCACGAGTCGAAGACAGACGACCGAACTTGAGACGTGCGAGCCGCGTCTTTGGGTCGAGGATGATGACGGTGTGCAGAGGGGCAAGGTCATAATATGCGCAGTGGTCATGAACTCCATCCTTGGCGGAGGATTGTGGGTACTGGCAGGTTATGTTGTGTTGGACGTGGCCGGCAAGAGCAAGGACGAGGAGGCCTTCATTGAATATGCCCACAAAGCAGACCGATGGCTGCTGCAGTGGGAGGGCTCCTATCAAAACTTGGGCTTGAGCGCAGGCAGGATGATCCGGCGTCGGCGACGAAGGTTGTGGGAGGATGTCACCCATGTGGTGGACGCGGGCTTCTCTAAGTGGGCAAGAAACGAGTTCGCCAAGATAATCAGGGAAAGCAGGGAAGCAAGTTCAATCTCCTTTAGCCTGCCCATCTCGGAAGTCTTTGGGAATTTCGAGCTTACCCTTCCTCATTCAAGTGGTGCTGCGCCTGTTATCCAAGTCGGGAGCATGCTGGATGCCTCCTTGCAGGACTTGCGCAGGGAGATAGCACCTGCACTGCCAGTAAGTGGTGCAGCCAATTTGTGACTCTTCGTGTCTCATATTGTAGTAGATCATAGTATATTATCGCGTATTATGATATTGTAGTAGATTATAGTGTATTATAGTATTGCAGTATATCATAGTATGTTAGAGTTTATCATCGCATAAGATAGCATATTATAGCATATTACAGCATATCATAGCACATTATGGCATATTAGGTATATGATAGTATATGGTAGCATATGGTAGTACAGGATAGTGTATGATAGTATATGATAGTACAGGATAGTATATGATAGTATATGATAGTATATGATAGTATATGTTTCTATATGATAGTATATGATAGTTTATGATAGCATGTTATAGTATATCATAGTGT